TTTCAAGATCTCTCCATTTATGCCCAGCCAAGCACATTGTGACCAGTAATCTTTAGTTTTCTCCTCTCCAAAGGGAGAAGATATACTGTTCCGCTTTTTGCTTCGCCCCTGCTGCCCCTCCCTCTCGCTTGGTTTATATCCACACTTCTCTCTGTTTACGTTGCACTGCTTCCCTCCCTCTCTCTCACCCACTTTGTGTCTCTCAGTACGAATTCCCTTCCTTCACCACTCCACTCTCACCATCCGTCTTTTCACCCCTCGTTCGTCTCCCTCCAACTACGCCTCTCTCCTTCATTCCTCCTCTCTTTTTCTAAAGGGGATCAGTGGAGCTTAGAGGCCTTTCCTGCTTGCTTCATTACTGAGCTGCTCTGACATGGGGAGCTCGTCTCCCGAGTGAGGAAAGGAGAACACCACTGATGTTTAATACATGGATCATTCTGTTGTCTTTCACGGCAGATCAATTCATCATCAAAAACTGAGCAGAGAACAGCAACAGTGCATGTAAACCTGTTCTCTCAATCTCTCAATCTTTCCCCTTTTTGTGTCCTAACTCTTCATTGAACGTATTGCCTCTCTCTCTCTCTCTCTCTCTCTCTCGTTCTTCCGTCACATCTCAGTGAACTGGAGCAAACCTTTTTTATTCTCCTTCAGTTGGAGAAAACATACAAACACAACACAACACTGATGCTTAGCCGGAAACATGGAACACGGCTCATGAAAAGAAAAACATAAAATATTCCATAAAATGAAGCGAAGGCTGCGCGCTAGTTCAAGCAGTCGACTCGATGCATGGACATGTGACATGCCTTACCCACTCATACCACCAACCAAACACATTCTTCTAAATCTGGCGCTCTATTTAAGCTGCAAAATGTCTACCTCTCTCTTTCTGTACAGCTTCCCTACATCTGCACTGCTTCTGCTTTTATGTTATAAGTCACCACTACTTAGTACTTGATGTCAAACATATGTGGGCAGTGATTAGACCGGAGCCGTGATGCCAAACTCAAAATCAATCCTGCTGAATTTCAAACTCGAGTAGTCCAAGTCAACTGTGTATGTGTCACTTTGTTAATATGGAACATATACTGGACATGTCCGTCTGTGTGAGCACAAATGTTCCATCTTCCCATGTGAATGCATGTGTGCGAGAGTGTGTGTCGGAGCCGTATGGGTATGTCTGACTGTTTGTCCTCTCTGTGTGGGTGTGTGTGTGGGCGGCAGGCTTGCCTTGATAAGGCCAAAGCCTGTTTCTAATCCAGGCCTCCTCAGTGGGCTGTGGATCTCGCTGCTGCAACACCAACTGAGTCCCAGCAGACAGCTAGCCTGCTCCTCTCTCTGCTTTCTGAAAAAAGCTCTGAGCTCAAAACTTTAACAATGGCTTCAGCAGGGAAATGTGAGGAGAAATGCAAAGACACACTGATGCCAGAAAAGAGAGCAGGAAAACTTCCTCTTTTGAGATGATCCAAATTAAATAAATATGAATATAAAAGAAAATCAAATGAAATGTCAGCCTGCAAAAAAGGAAACAAGAAGGGGCAGATAGTGATGGTGGGGGGGGGGCTTTGGTAAAGGCTTTAGGATGAAATCAAAGCGGTTAAAGCTGATTTATCCCGTGTAAGGACGCCAAGCCCTCTAAGGAGGCGCTGAACAGCCCTTCAAAAATGAAATATCAGCAGCAGTCAGTGCCAGTCATCAGTGCCATATGTGATGGAAAATCAATCTATTTCATATCAGAGACCTGTGAGGAGAAAACGAGAGAGACAGGTCCCCGCTTGCCTCCTCGCTGCACCTCTGTCAACGTCTCCGCAGCAGAAACATCCCAGAATGCTCTGCGTCATCGGTGACGGAGACGTTCGCGGTGCTCGTGGCTCAATGTGTGGCGGCTGCTGTTCTGCTAGATTAGGCAGGTGATTGGCCATTAATATTCATTTCACAGTGTGTCTTTGTTAGGCGGCAGCAGGGGCTGACTGAGTGTTTGGATGGATTTACTCTACCGTATATTTCCCTTTAATTTCTATAGGCAAGGTGGTTTACCCGTATGGCCTGAGTAGAGTTACCGAGTGGCCTGATGTGCTTTCATTTCTACTAGTTTGATTCTGATACGGTGAAAGCTATGAAAATGTCAGGAGTCTACTCAGTTTTGATTGAATATCAACTATTTTGCCATTTCTCATTGTTACTATTGGCTGATACTTCATTACTTCAGCCTGTCACGCCAGTGTTGAGAGTTAACATTTGTTATGTGCAATATACACTTTTCTACAATGTATTCATGTTATTATAATATAATAACAAGCTCTTCTATTGGCTAGCGCTCCAACACATCGTACGTGAGAGGCTAAGGGACGGGACATCTCTGAGCAGTTGACCAATCAGAACAGAGCTGGCCAGCTAACCAATCAGAGCAGACTGGACCCTTTTGAACATTAAAGCATTGAGAGATGTCACAGTAATGGAACATAAGAATATGAACTTGAAAATGAGCAAGATAGAGCCCCTTAAATATTTAGTGGAATTAGTGAAAGATATGATATACTGTCTTCCAGTTTGATCAGTATAGGCTAGCAGTTTAATATTGTACAGAAACCAGGGAAAGTACAGTGTTCTGGGCCTGTCTGGTCTTAATAACAGCAGAGAGTTGGTCCTGGAGGAGCGCAGGTCCAGCAGGCATTAAACCAGTAACAGGTCTTTCCCTAATGGACAGCCAAGCTAGCGAGGTGATCGGAACAGTCCTCCTCATAATGAGATCAAGGGACTAATTAGTATGACTGTGTGCTGTGGTGTGACTGTGTGCACTGAGGAATAGATGCCCCCTATCGGACTAGCCGTGTGGCCCCTGAGAGAGCAGGCCAGCCTGGCTCTGTCCCCGGTGGCCCTCCCTCCACTGCACTGAGAGGCTAATTAATATTTGCTCCATCCACTCCTCCAGCTCCTGTACACCATGCTGAGTTATATTCCTGAAGATATTGATCTGGGTTCCAGTGACAGCAGGCAAATAGCGACCAAAATTAAAAATATATATAATCTTGGCAATTGTCACGATGTGAAATAAGGAGAGCAATAATTACAGGGCCTGGCAATTTCAGACAGCTCGTGGAATCAAATTCTCTTTAATCTTTTACAGCAAATAAGAAGCTAAGTCTTGTAAAAGTAGGCCATGGAGGCGCATCAGCAGCACCGTCCATCAGCTGAAGACAGAACCAGATATGGAGAAAACCGAATTATCTTTGCCAAGGATGATCGCAGAAAGAATTCAAGCCAGCAAATTAGAGGAAGGATGAAAATACAAGATCAAAATGAAGATGAGATCCATTTACGAACATTCCCTCGCCCATCTTTCACTTCAGCCCCCTATCCTGTTAAAGTCATGCTTGTGTTTGATTGCCCCTGCAGCACCACTCTGACCTGGTCATTTAAGATGATGTGCAACTCTCAGGTCTGTTCCAGCACTCATTTGTTCCTCAGTGGGGTCCCCACGGCCGGCCAGTAAGAGGACCCCATACGGACCAAAGTGCCATGGGAGCTTTAAACCCGGCCACTCACAACCAAGTAAAGAGACAGCTGAGTGTCATTGTTAATGTGGACACACAGCACCACAATGGCAAAATCAATGGAGCTATAGGGGACATCAATCTTCACAGCACAAGACCCTTTTGCTTGTCTCACCACTCCCCTAAAGCTCCGAATGAATGGTTGAGAGAAGGAGGGACAATGAGGTGAACAGAAAGAAAGAGAGAAGGAAAGAAAGAGAACATGGAGGACTGACAGTGATCTTTCTTGGCCTTTCCTCCATCCATCTCAAGGGGTTACGCTGTCCTTTGAAGATTGTGTGCATTTGACAGGCAGCCAAGTGGCCAGCCATCCCAATTCACCCCAAAAAATGGCAGAGGTTTTTAGGTAAAGCCTCAGAAGTGCAGCGAGGCAGATGTACAGTATGCACTTGGCATCAGGCTTGCATTTTCTCTCCCGGCCGGTTTTTCACTTCCAAAGTCTCTCTCTTCTTCCACAGGAAAAAAAAAAGAAAGACTTGAAACAACGTTCCTTTTAAACAAGAACAAAAAAGGGACTTGCTTTGTTACGGGGTGACACATTAGATGCACACCAAAAAAAGAACAGCAAGGTTCATTGTTTCTGACAGTGACTTAAAGGATGCCTACTCATCCCATTAACATATATGCAGATAGGCAGAGTAAATGAAAGCCTCTGAAAACGGGAGAGATCAAAGCCGACAGAATTAAGGCCAAGTAATGAGGATCTTGGCAAGAACCCTGCAAATGTATTGATTGTTTGGCAAGCTGTATGTGCTTTTGCTCTATTTTTCTGTCCCTCTATACCATTTACTCTTGTGTTTCAGCGGCACACAGATCAAGCAGAGTGGGTTTTGAACGGGGCCTCGCAGGGCTAAGGTTACTGCATTGAGCCTAATCACTATGTCATTTACAATGCTAACAATAATGGCTACTTGGCATAGGGAACAAGAAAAAAGAGATGGACAGCGGGGAAACCCATCACAGCCTTGCATACTTAAATAACACAGACTCTTAATTCAATTACATCCAGTACAAGGGCACTCACAGCATGAGACCGTGGGAGATTAATCCACTAACCCAAAGGATTTGTACCAGAAACAAATACTACATAACGCTACACAAAATATGAGGTGAGATTACAGACCTTTCTACAAACTGCCACTGGCAGTCAAACCAAGATTACATGAAATATCTGTGTTTGATATCGCGTTATGTGTTAAATATACATTCAGATGCAGTGTGGTTTAAAGTGTTTGAAAGAGTGGTAGAACTGCTACCGGTGTGTATGTAAGCGCAGCAACACGATAAAGGAATTGGGATAGGATAAAACAGAGTGTTGGCTGAAGAAATATAGCATTGCGAGCAGTGGAACAGATGAGATCAGAGGGAAAGAATGAAAAGAATTAGCCTAGATAAGGCAGATGAAAAGGGGACATGAATAAATGATGGAGAAAAGAAGACAACTACCTCCACGGCTCTCGCTGTCAGCCGGTTTCACCTGGATGGGGCGAGTCATCTGGAGGAGAGAGAACAGAGAGGTTAGCGATGTCGTTGCTACAACAAAAGGCCACAAAACAAGACGTGTCAAGACCCTTCTCTCCCATACCAATGGCTGCTCTGCGACACTGATCAAAGTGCCTTAGCTGGAGAGAAAACAGAAGCACCATCATGTGGCTAAGTTGACCTGACACCATAGTGTTTCTGCTGCCTGCTATTCAGTGTAAACAAAACAACTCTGTTCCCCATATCAAATAAGGAGTGTGTGTGTGTGTGAAAGTCCATTTGTATTTGTGGTATTGCGTGGCAGGTGCAGGGAGAAGGCTGCCGATGTGTGTCTAAGTGATAGAGGCCGAGGCAGTCCTACTAAAAGTGAATCCAGCCACAGGAGGAGCGAGATCAATGCAGGCCTATTGATCCGGCCCCTGGGCTGTGCAGAGTGTCTGCCTGGGAAGATTCTCTGGTTAGGAGGCTCACTCTAATCCACTGGACCCTGATAAGAATGGCATTGCCTGGATTAGATGCCTCTGTCATCACAGCCTTTGTGTCACGCTCTCCTCCTTCCCCAATTTTACCGCCTTCTTTTTCCATTATTGTTGTTCAAGCTGAACAATTTCACCAGATAGGAAGGAGTTTGAGAGACCTAGCTGTGATTTACAATATGTTTGTTACAGCTTTAATTTAACACATGCCTCCTAGTCACATATTTAGCATGCATATGGTTTAAAAACCCGCCCACACACACAGCACATATAATATATATATATGTACTGTAGCGGAGCATAGAGCAGGCAATATCATTTATGTGATTTATGTGCGTTGATTTTATGCCAGTGCCCGTTCTTCTATGATTCAGTCCAAAACAAATAGATTTAACAATAAAAAAAACACATATCATAATAAAATGGGGCCAAAAGTTTAAAGGAACATTAAAGTAACCTCTTACCACACTCAACCTTTTACAGTAAATAATTTGTAGCTGCTATTTAGGCATCTGTTTACAGCTTGAAACCGTTACGAGGCATCCGATTCGGATCGATGGAAAAGCACCGTTTTTATTCCTACATTTGTATATATTTCCTTCTATCTCCTGTCATGTATCTTTTTGCTGTTCGATACCAGAGTCGGACTGTAAAGGTCAGATTTAAAGACAGGGCAGTCCAATAAACGCATGACATGTTCAAGGAGAAACACCATAATGGGATTTTAAAATGTCTTAATAACATACTGATATATGGGGGAGAGGCCCATGCCCGATTCATTAAGTGCTAAACGTATCCTTTGTCACCTTGAAGAACTGAGTAACCTTCCCTCAATGAAATGATTCCATAAATGTACCCATCGTAAATATAACTAGCAGTGGCTAAGTCTTTGTCGGAAAACAGGAAGGATGCTACGCTTGTGAAGGTTGACGCTTTCGCTTCTTGGTTCGTCCTCCTCCCTCTCCATCTACAAGTGCCTTCTTCTTTGTAAAACACGAGTAAAGTAACCCTACAGTATGCTAATGCCAAGCCACAGGGCGCTTGCTCCGCAGCATGTACGGATAGATTACAGAATCAACCGCGACACCATCGCACACGTGTTCAAAGCAACCTTTGAGACAGAAACAGCGCCGAATGGGTGGAAAAAAACATCCGCGAGACAAATGTGCAGATAACTTTGCATCACAGGAAATCTTTGAATTTGCCTTTGACATGTCAAACGGACAAAAGTTGCTTCCATCCTGCCAGTTGATTTCTGTTCATGGAGGAGGCTAAATCTGCGGCTGTGACTCTTCTCCCATGCTAAGATCTCAGCCGGCTCTGCAGGGTGCCTGTGCGTGGGAGTCAGCTCCCTTTAAAGCTAGTTACTGCTCAGCCTCCAACATGCCAGCTTAATGGCCTATTTATTTGCCCGAGAGCAATGCATTATGGTCCTGAACAGTCACTACTGATGCCACTCAGTTTGTTCCATTCCTCTTGAAGACATATTAAGAAAATTGCGTAATTCCAGTTGAAATGAAGTTGCAAAGCACACTGTTACTTTATGCATGCTCACGCACTGCACAGACATGGTCATTTAAAGTCAAATGTATCGAGTGCTGCTGTTGCCTAGGAGACCATTCATTAACTCTAGATACTGTGGGTCATGTTTTCACTGGGAGCTTCTCGACACACCCACAATGAACAGTCAATGCTGCTCCCTGTACAAAACACAACACGTTTGAATTGTAATGGTTATCATTCGGTGGTGGTGCGGACGTTCAGGTGAAGGGGGGGGGGGTAACACCAGAGAAACAGAAGAAGAGAGATTGTGGAAAAAGACAACAAGAGATGGAGAGAAGGGAAAGAGAGATACAGTACAGTCAGAGAGAGAAAGAAAGCCGCCTGCAGCTCTTAGATAAGATTACTTTCCGTTTCTTCTTCTGACTCCACCCTCCTGCCCTTCACTTTGTCTCTCTCAAACACACACACAGAAAAACAGCAGCACATCTACACTATACGATCACTAAATACTAACCAATCAACCTCCCTAAAATGTACTGTTTCAATTATAAATCCACCAAAACGTTAAAGTGTGTTTTAAACTTGGGAGAGAAACTTTATAAATACCTCGAGTTATTTAACAAGGTTTAGGAGACCAAACATGATATGACTTTCCCTGTGTTAATATAATAAAACGTTGATGTGCTCAATCCAGATTTGTTTCTTTTACTGATATTTGGTCTTTCTGAACTTAATCAGTATTATTTGTATTTGACAACTGCTGAGGAAAACATAGCTGTGGTCTCAGAAAAACACTTTGCTAAAATACAGGGTTTTGGATTTTATCACTAGGTATACATTTTTTTTAACTATTGTTAAAGGTAGGGTAGGTACGTTTGAGAAACCGGCTCGAGATACACTTTTTGTTATATTCCATGGAATGCTCTTAACATCCCGATAGCAATGAATATCTTAAGACAAAAAATCCATAAAAAAATGTCATCTGTGGAAGCCGTAGTGCTGTAAAAAGCACGACCAATCATTTTAGCCGGCCTGGCTAATATAACTGGATGGCCTACCTGCCTGTCAGCCTTCCATCGGGGCACAAACTTATCTCGTGCCCTCATTGGTCATGTGCGCGTTCGTGTGTGTTGGAGGAGGGGCTCTATAAGGAAGTGGCAGATTTTCTCCGGTTGTGTATTTTCAAATTCTAGCGATCTCGAGCTGGTTTCTCAAACTTACCTACCCCACCTTTAAATGTGTTTTTTTTAAGCATTGTCTGAAAATGACCATGCAGACAGGTGAGATCTATGTAAAGAAAACAATGTTAAGGTCGAGTACAGTGAACAAAGTGTGATCATACAGTCGAAAGCCTCATTTGACAAGTCTGTGCTGACTTATGGTGCATTTACGTGTCTGTGAGAGGCTTTAAATAATTGAGATAACATGTAAAAAGAAACGGCAAACATGGACACGGGGGGCACCTTTCTGAGTATATAAGTGACATTTTTACATGTACGGTGCTTTCCATTAGGCTCAAAGGCCTGGTTCAAGTAAATGTGAGCTGAACGCTTTTGACTCATCTGAATAAACAAGCTCGTCTGATGACTCACAACAAAGCAGTGGCTTCACATTTAAATGAGTAACATTTCTTCATCTCCCCCTCTAGTAGACAATAGTTTTCCTTTTCCTTGTCTTTCTCGCTCCACACACTGTGCTGCTCTCAGGGCTTTGACGAATCTATAGTTCCATATGCTTTTATTTAGCCGACTCATTTACCAAGTTAAGCCTTGAGTCTGTTGAATTAAAGCTCTTTGCACTAGTATGCTGTTTTATATGGAGGGTGAGACATAAACCCCCAGGCCTAAAGTACACATTGTAGTGTGCAGTGGGCCTGGATTATACACACATTGCCTGTTGGTTTGCCTTTCTTTGCTGATTATTCAACTCAAACTAGTTACCAATTGATACGCCTACATGTGACTAGTACTTTTCGGATGTGTAATTAAGTAGATCATTTGTTTATATATAATTTAGAATCAGTAATATTTTTGTATATCAATTTGACACTGCTTAAAGGTAGGGTAGGTAAGTTTGAGAAACCGGCTCGAGATACACTTTTTGTTATATTCCATGGAATGCTCTTAACATCCCGATAGCAATGAATATCTTAAGTGCTTTGACAAAAAATCCATAAAAAAATGTCATCTGTGGAAGCCGTAGTACTGTAAAAAGCACGACCAATCATTTTAGCCGGCCCGGCTAAAATAACTGGATGGCCTACCTGCCTGTCAGCCTTCCATCTGTGCACAAACTTATCTCGTGCCCTCATTGGTCATGTGCGCGTTCGTGTGTGTTGGAGGAGGGGCTCTATAAGGAAGTGGCAGATTTTCTCCGGTTGTGTATTTTCAAATTCTAGCGATCTCGAGCCGGTTTCTCAAACTTACCTACCCTACCTTTAATTTTGTATTGTATAATAATTCTCATGTTAAATGTTTGTATTATTGTTTTACACATTCAAAATAAATATAATCAAATCAAAATCAATATCAAAACTGGTTTAAAAAGAAGACAAATAATATACTTTAAGAGACACATGATCCATTTACAGATCCACAATTTCCCTGATTGTATGATATGCCAGTATTCGTGCAAAGTTGGCCTCGCTTGGAAGTAAAGAAAGTCTTTCTACTGAAACTATTATTAGCCACAGAAAGGACCAAGGCCTTGGGCTGCGGCCACCAAAGGCATTCCACTGTCTGATTTTAAATTACACAGAGCAAGGAACTGTAGTCAGGACTCGGCCTGTTAGTAGTGTGGAGGATATAGAGTCCACTGTTGGCACTGACAGTAATGAGTTCATGACTAGCGGAGTTTAGCTGGATAGAAATGTACAGAGTCTCAGACTTCACTCGGCTGAGACCCCAGAGAGGTCCAGTAGCTAGACAATAATACTGCTTTGGAAAGAGTTTCAATTCCAAGCCTCAATACTTTTATAGTCCTTAACTTTAATACAATTCAAAAAAAGCCGACCTGCACTACAGCCGAATGCAGT